TCTTTCCTGCCTATGCAGGGAGTCGGACTCGATGATCTATTGAGGTCCCTTCTGACCCTAGCATCTATGAATCTATGAACTTGCTCTTCAAAGTTTCCATGGATGGAGATTCCACCACTTCCTTGGGCAGCCTGTTCCAATGCCTGACCACTCTCAGTCAGGAAGTTCCTCCTGATCTCCAGCTTAAACATCCCCTTCTGCTGCTTGAGTCTGTTGCTCCTAGTCCTGTCCCCTACAGCCACAGAGAAAAGCCCATCTCCACCTTCTCTGTAATCATCCTTCAGGCACGTGAAGACTGTTATCAAATACCCCCTCAGTCTTCTCTTCTCCAGGCTAAATAACCCTAGTTATGTCAGCCTTTCCTCAAATGTGTCGTCTCCCAGGTCCCTGCTCGTTTTTGTTGCCCTGCACTGAACTCTTTCCAAACTGTCCATGTCCTTGAAGTGTGGGGCTCAAAACTGGACACAGGACTCCGGGGGAAGACTCACCACTGCTGAACAGAGTGGAAGAATCATTCCCTTAATAGCAAGTGACACTCATTAATACAACCCAGGAGGCTGTTGGCTTTTTTTGCAACAAGAGCACATTATTGGCTCATATTTATCTCACAGTCCCAGGTCCTTCTCTGTAGCACTGAAGCCTAGCAAGTCACTCCCCGGTCTGTATTTGTGCATGAGGTTATTCTGTCCCAAGTGGAGGACTTTGCATGTGTCCAATGAGATGAGATTCAACAAGATTTTGGACCATTTCTCCAGTATGTCCAGGCCACTCTGGATCCTGGCCCTGCTCTCTGGACTTCCTGCAATTCCACCCAATCTGGTGTCTTCCACAAATTGGCTAAGCATGCACTTGATCACATCATCCAAATCATTAATGAAGATGTTGAACAATACCAAACTCAGGACAGACCCCTGCGAAACCCCACCTGATGCATCCTCCCAGCTACACAATGAGTCATTGCAGACTACTTGTTGAGCATGATGATCCAATTAGTTATGTATCTACTTGCAGTACTTTCATCTAGTCTGTATTTAGCTTGTTAAGGATAATCCTTAAGGGAACTGTAGCTGTAGCTTAACTCTGGGTTAAGCAAAAAATGGTCCTGGTCATAGGTGGGCAGTAGCCCTACCTCTCATGAGGCCAAACAGTAATGAGCCTTTTGATAATACCCGAGTGGTAGCTGCCTCCAGGGTGTGACAGGCAGTTCCTGCCAACAAGCATGCTTCAGTCACAGCCACTAAGAGACAGGGGGCCTTCAGGACTAGGACCCCAAGGGGATGGGTCCTGCCTCCTGCTTCTGATGGCCTGACACGGTCCCCTAACATACAATACAGGCCACCCCAATCCCTAGAGGTCAAGTAGAAGGGAAGGGAACAGCAGCTGTGATGTCTGGAGAGCACTGAAGCAGAAGGTGAATGGCAGGCAGTGCTGAGAGAGGCAGGCCAGCTGAAGAGGAGGTTTCACAGCTCCCACCCCTCTGAGTTGGGGCATTCCCAGGTCACTGGTCAGGAACCCAGATCTGTTACAGGTCAGCGTAACCAGGCCCAGAGCTGGGGAGATGCACCTGGATCAGAACTGCCATGGCACTGAGGGAAGGGGGCAGCCATGGGATCAAGGGATCATGCCCTAGAAACCAAGAGGGGCCCCCCTTCTGCCCCCCAGAGAAGGCACAGTGCTGCAGGGTGCCCTCACACACCGGCCTCTTACCTAGGCTGGGAGAGGGCTGCTGGGGAAGCAGGTAGCAGGTGAGAACCTTCTCCCCCGTCTTTTCGTCATCCTCGGTCTGGAACTTCAGCATGGGCTGGGACTGGTTCTCCGCCAACCACAAGGCCTTCAGGTTGAGGTTAGTCAGGGCAAAGGGCAAGTGCTGCAGCCTGGAGAAACAACACAGTCGGTCGGACTCCAGTGGCCTAAAGGGAACATCCCCTGGATGCCTCCCTCCCCGCTGTGCAGGTCAGGTCTGAGCCTGGCAGCACCCTGGGAGGCAAAAGGTGACAGCTGACTGTGTGCTGAGCTGGGTGGAAAAGGGTTTACACTCTACCCAGGGAGACTGAGCCAGGCAGGGCACTCCTCTGCCCAGAGCCAGAGAGACCCCAGCAAGCCTGCAGAGGGGCCATGGCCTGTGCTTCACCCTTGGCGTGCTAGAGCCTCAGTGAGACAGTCAGGCTACACAGAAGCCCACATGGCAACTCTGTGGATGCCACGTACAGGAAGCAAGGGAGATCCTGGAATTGGCACTGGCTGGAGAGACCCAGAAGGGACAGCTCAGCATCCTGGCCCCCGTGCCCAGAGAGCTGGAGCCAAGCAGCTGCTGGGTCACCATCAGGGACAACCCAGGCCACAGGGTAGGAAATGGCCACGTCAGAGTCTTACAACAGGGCAGAGCATCCCCATTTACATGGCACCAACAGACAGCCCTGGGCCCTGGTCTATATGAGCTGTGTGCAAGATGCAGCAGGGAGCTAGCCTGAAGCCCCATAGCCAGGGAGCCAGGACCCTGGAGAGAAGGGCACAGGAGCTTTCCCCCAGCCAATATCTAATGGGCTGGATGAAGTCCTGAAGAACAGGCTGGGAGACAGACACGGCATTGGGCCATGAGCAGGGCTGGCTTGGGCTCTCATCACAAGGGTCTCGGGCACTGAACACAAAGCCCAGGCCATCAACACCGAGCCAAAGAGCTCAGCACCACAGCACAGCCATAGCCTGGCTCCTGGTTCTGGCAGGATGGATGACACACAACAGAAGTAGTGTGGAGAAGCCCGACCACCCAGCCACGGCCTCCTCTTGAGCAATTTGGTGCTGCAATCCCTCCCGAATCCCCGTGCACCACCCCTCGCATGGCTGATGGGGCCCGTGCCTGTGGCCCTGCCCCACCCCCACTCCCACCCCACCAGGACTCACCTGTTCCCTGCCACGTCCAGGACATGCAACTCGGTGGTGCTGGCAAGCTCGGGCGGCAGAAGCACCAAGCGGTTGTCCCGCAAGGACAGCACATTCAGGCTGGCGCAGCCCCCAATCTCGGCCGGAAGCGCGGTGAGCCGGTTCCGATCCGCATTCAAGTTGGTCAGCTTGGTCAGCTTCCCCAGGGACTTGGGCAAGGCCTGGGAGGGTGGCAAACAGCATGGAGGAAGCCCTGAGGCCCACAGCTATGCTATGAAACTTGCACCCAGCAGCAAGGGGAAGTGGGGCTGGCGCGGATGCTGGGTCACACAGGGCAGCGGGGGAAGAAGGCACACTGACAGCCTGCAGGAGAACAGCAGAACCCACCCCAGCCGAGGGCACGGCTCCTGAGGCCCTGGGAACTGTTGAATTGCCTGGGGACCCTGGCGCAGCTCAGTCCAGGTGCCCATCCAGCCTGGGTAAGACAAGACTCCAGCACCTCTGGAGACTTAGAAAGCCCCAAAAGTCCTGGCTAGAGGGTCTTGTCCCTCTGATCAGGGTCAGATGAGTCACCATGTTCGGGGTCAAGAAGAAATTTTACGCCACAGCCAGACTGGTCCAGACTATGGGGGTTTTGCCTTCTATAGCAGGGAACATGGCCCCTGCCTGGGATCTCCCTAGTGTTTTTTTTTTAACGCCCCTTGGAGTGGCGCGAGTGACAATCCTCACTCCCTGCTTTACCTGGAGCAAGTTAAGGGGCGTTTGGAGCACTGTGCCTGGCAGCTGCTTGGGCTGCTCCAGGGGTTAAGAGCAGGCCACACGCTCATTTGTCTGGGCTGGGGGTGAGTGGGAGCAGAGGGCTGAACTATTTGGGACATCTGGAGGGCCCTACCAGCTTGATGTCTCAGTGTCTGTAAGAGTTGGTCTCACGCTCTCCTGGCCCTTCCCCTTCTCTGGGTTCTGACCCTGTGCCAAGACAAGCTCTGCAAGATGGGGAGGGGATGCTCTCTATGATGTGCCTCTGAATGTGCTGAAGAGCAGGGCCCTGGTCCCCACTGGCTTGCAGCACCAGCCTCACACAAACCATCACCACCCGGTGTTGCCTCTGCCCAGGCTGGATGGGCTCCGGCAGTGATCCTGAGAGCGGGGGATTCCTCAGGGATTGGCGAGATGTCACCAGCCTCCAGGCATCTCTCAAGGAGACTGGCCCAGCAGTCTGCTTGGCTGCCCCACGTCACCAGAGCAGGCCACAGTGGCCAGAACGTCCTGCAGACGTTGGCCTTGAGGTCCCAGTCAGTCCCCAGAGGCAATCCCCAAGATACAGTGAGGCCATGGCTGGGGAAGAGACGCGTAGCAGGCGAGCACGGAGCTGCAGCCAGTACACCTACCGTCAGCATGTTCTCTGTCAGGATGAGCTCCGAGAGGTTCTCGCAGTCCCCAATCGACTCGCTCATCTCCGTCAGCCGATTCTGATCCACCTTCAGGATGGAGAGCTGCTTCAGCTGGCCTGGGCAGGGGGATGAGGCAGGCACCAGCTACAGCAAAGGTGGCGAGGAGCCTGCTCCAACCACTCAGCTAGACCCCTGCCCCATGCCTCCCCACAGGGCTTAGCTCTCAGATCCCACAACAAAGCAGTTCGACATGGACCGCTGGCCCCAGCATCACACCTTCCTTGGGGCCTCACTCACTGGCACCTGGCACTGGGTTACAGCCCCAGCACCCAAGCTTTGTCCTGGCTCAGCTGACCAACATTGTGCACCAGCCCCCAGCAAGGACCAGGCCCTTTGTTCCCCGTCCTGGACCCTGCTACCAGGTTCCTCTAGGATCCCACCCAGAGGTCAACACAGCCCCTACACATCCATCTTGTCCCGTCCCACCCAGGGCTGGCACCATGCATGGGGTGGTACAGCCCCCAGCCCAGCACGCACCGATGCCGTCGGGAATGCACTCCAACAGGTTCTGGCTCAGCAGCAGGTCCGTCAGTGCCGCCAGCCCGCTGATCTCTCCAGGCAGCTGCTCCAGCTTGTTCTCGGACACGTCAAGGCAGACCAAGCGTCGGAGATTGCCCAGCTCCTGAGACAGAAGGAGATGGGATGCATCTTGGGGGAGTGAGGGGGCAGCGTGCACAGCAGCGAGGCAGCCCTGGGATGGGTACTCACCGGGGGCAGGGCCGAGAGCTGGTTCCGGTCTAGCCAGAGCTCCCGCAGGTTGGGCAGCGCTCCCAGCGTGTCCGGCTGCGACAAGGAGAGAGCAGTGTCACACCTTCTCCAGAGCCCCGCCAGAACGGCACTGCCCTGGGAGGGGAGGCCCTGGGCACTGCAACCTGGTGATGCTGCTGTTCCAATGCCCCAAACCACATACCACAGAGGAGTGGCAAAGCCCGCCTGCCGCCGGCTGCAATAGGGACGCTGCACGGGCCAGGCCTCAGCTGACAAAGCCTCCGCATGCCACAGGCTGCAGGTTTCTGGGCTGATGGCACTACCCACAGGGGTCTATTACCTGGATGGCACAGCCTCAGGGAGGGGTAGGAGCTGGGTGGGAGCTCTGGAGGCTTCAGCCTCGAGAGGAATCCCCTCTCTTCCTTCTCCTCTGTGGGCACAGACAAAGCAACTAGACAATGATGGAGCACCTCCTAGACAAGACTGGCTAGCCATGGGGCTGTTAGCTGCGGCTGCCGCCCCAGCAGGGGAAAGATGATTGCCATGTGGAGGACCGACCTCTCACTCTGAAGTCAGTGCTGCACGGAGGACTGTCCACATGCCTCTGCAGCGTGGCTGTGGGCTGCCTACATGCTTGGGAGAGGGAAGCCCTGCGCAGGCAGCTCCTGTTTAGCAGGGTTCCCTTGCTAGAAGCACCTTTTGGAAGGTTTATTCTGGAGCAGGACAGAGTGGCCCCAGCCCCTGCAGCTGTGGAGTTGCAGTCCTGTTGGGACACTGGCTCCAGACAGAGGCTGCGGCAAACCCACATGCACCTTGGGACCCTGGGGCTGGGCATTACCCAGGGCCTTGACATGGACTTTGCGCTGGCAGGGCAGGCAGCTCTGCAGGAAGGTTTCACATTTGCAAGCCGCAGGGCCTGGCTGCCTGCCCCTCTGGAGATCGGCAGGGAAATCCCTGTGGTTTCCCAACAGTGGAGGGTCAATCGGGGAAGAGGAAGGACGAGAAGCTGTTCCAGCAGAGCTGGAGAGATGAGGGCAGACATACAGGGCAGGGGAGGGAAGGCAGCACAAAGGCAGGAGCCAGCCAGGAGCTACAGACAGCACCAGAACCAGCAGGGAAAGCAGCCCACAGGCAGCTGGAGAGCAGGGCAGAGCATCACATGGCAAAGGGACTGGGCACGCCATGCCATGCCATGGAGGGAGGGAGGGAAGCAAGACAAGGCCAACAGCAGGAGACCAGAGCTGGGAACAACCACTGGGCCACGGCAGGCAAGGTCTCCCCAAACTCGGTCATCCCCTGCGACTTCAAACAGCCACTCCGCCTCCAAGGGCCCAGGGCGCCCAGCCCCTCCTGCCACCCCTCACGTACCAGCACTTCCAGGTCATTGCCACCAAGATCCAGCTGCTCTAACTTGACGAGGAATGAGAGAGAACTGCAGGCCGATGAGGGAGGAGAGAGAGACATAGGTTAGCAGGGGGACCCAGCTCCCTAGTGACAGCCCTGTGACCCCGCCAGGCACAGCCCAAGGGCCACAGTGCCTCCCCCACCCTGCAGGCCTCCAAAGCACTAGGGTCAGATGACCCTGCCCAGCTCCACTCAGGGCAGCCAAGGCCAATGTCTCATTGGCAGCGGGAGCCAGGGCTCAGTGATGCTGGGAGCTGCCCACCCCACAGTCACTGGTCAGCGTCTCCCTGCTCCGAGACAGCAGGTGTGTTCCACAGGCCGGGCCCCCTCGCCCCTCCACCTGTGCCATGACGCAGAGCCCCGAGCACAGGAAGGTGCAGACAACAGGAGGGAGTTCAGGACTTGGGACAAGAGGAGGAAACACCCTTGGGGAAGGACACGTGAGCACGACCAGTGCCCCAACTCCCGAAAAGGGGAGCCCCAAGCACCGCTCCTTTCTGCAGGAAGGGAGGGACCCCAGAAGATGAGGTGCTTGTTAGGTAAGGTCCCCGGGAGAGCCTGCCTGGAGTGGGTCCAGGGTGCTGAGCTGGGCCCATGCCCTAGCAACTCATCCTGGATTGACCCAACCCTGGTGCACACACAACTGCTGCCCAACGACACAGCTGACAGTGGCTCCCCCGACGCTCAGGCCCCTGCCCCCTGCCAGCCTCTGCTCCCCACACCCTGGGTTAGCGCTCTGTCCCTTTCAGGCTGGGGGGCACTGTCTGCACAAACCTGCCCGGGCCCCCTTCTCCTCTGCTGGCTCTTTGGCTGTTTATCCTCCCTGCCTGGTCCTTTACCCTCCACTAGAGACCCCCAAACACACTGACCAAAGCCTGGCTGCAGGAAAACAGGAAACCAGCAACAAAGGTCTCCTGGTGGGGGCAGGAACACCACAGCCCTGGGGGCAGAGCAGACCCTCCTGGACACACGGAGGCACCCTGTGCATGTGGCCACCTCGCACATGCCAGTCCTCATAAGAGTCCTGTTCACTGCATCTGTGCACGCGTCCCTTGCTAAGAGCCTCACAAGTGAGGACCAAGTGAGGCTCATAGGATCTGCACTGACACCATCCTGCAAGAGCCACTGCGGGGTTAACATCTGGCCTCTCACCATGTGCTGTCAGTGCAGACCCCCATGGACACACATGTGGAGGGAGGGGAGGGGGTGCCGCCTGCAAGAGCTGGACAGTGGCAACAGCTCTGTTCTCCTGCCCCAGCAGCAGAACCCACTGCCAATATCAGCCTGATCCAGCCTGTTGCTCCACGTCACTGCTGTGCAGGTCCTGGAAAGCAGCAGAGGCTCCGTGAGCAAAGCAATGCTTGTGTCCAGCAGGACAGGCATCCCAGCCAGCTGCTAACCCAGCCGGAGACCCTGCATTATCCACTCAGGGGTTCTTGGTGATGAGCCGGCCTGCCCTGGGGATGGCTGGCTACAACAGGGAATGGACGGGGCGGCTGCAATGTTCCGACCGCAAACAGAGCAAAAAACTCTGGGAGCACGTGGTACACACGGCTTCTCCCCAGGAGAGTCCTGGGTCTCAGGACAAAAACAGACCAGTTACACAGGCTGATTCAGGTAAGAGTCCAAGACCCTCTTGGGGACAGAGAAGTCGAAAAGGTGACAGCATCACCTTCGACCCCATGAGGAGGGTCAGCCGTGAGTGCTGGGAGCTCACATGCCCAGTGGGTCAAAGTGAAAACGGATTCAGCACGAGGCAGAGCAAGGCTCATTCCTGAAGGAGCTCGAGAGAGCCAGGCAAGTCTGTCACAGGACCCCGAGGAACTTCGCTGTAGAGAGAAGAGAGCACAAGCATCCATGTGAGGAGTGCCACAGTCCCTGCACGGTGGGTCTTGACAGACCGACTGAAAGACCAGCGACTTGCAGATGCAGCAGTGAGCCAAAGATGCGCAGCCCTGAGGCTCAGTCAGAGCTGCCAGGTTGGAAGAGACCTTGGGAGGCATCTCGTCCAACCCCTGAGCAGGCACAGAGGCACTTTCCTCAAACCACCCCCAACTGTGCTGGAAAGCATTTGACGAAGCGGAGTCCACAAGTCCCCTTGGCAGCGTGGTCCAGCATCCTGTAGCCAAGACGTCCTTCCGCGTTCCATCTGCTTTGCGGCAGCTGAAGTCCATCATCTCCGGTCCTGCCCTCTCTGGTGAGGGAGAACCACTGCTCTCCCTCTCCTTCCCTGCAACCTCTCCAGCATTTTGAGACCTGCTCTCGTCCCTACCTCCCCTTTTCCACACTAAACAGACCTCACTGCTTTAAGTCTTGCATTGCAAACCCCCTCTCTCACTTGCCTCTGGATCCTCCCATTTCTTTCCATCCTTCAAGAGCAGTAGCCAGAACCGGACAATACCCACCCCAGCTGAGGCCTAGCTGGTGCCAAGTGTCAGTCACAGAGCAGTGGGGCTGGAAAGGAGCTCCAGAGGTCACATCTAGTCCAACCCGACTGAGGCAGAATCAGCCCTGTCCAACCCAGCCCAGACAACCATAATGTAAACTGTACCTAAGCGGAGGGGTCTTATCTCTGTGCCATGCATGCAGTACTTCTGCTTGGCGAGCCCAAACTATGTTTGCTTTCCCTGTGACACCACCATCCTGCTGACTTGTACCGAGTTTCTGAGGCAGTTACAGGGCCTGGATCGCAGACCCCGTTCTGTCTGCACCCGTTCACTTCTCTTTCTCCAGTGCAGAGCCTTGCATTGGTCTTGGCTGAATTTCATTACGACATCGACAGCCAAGTTCTCCAGCCGATCAAGACCTTTTGGAATTGCAATCCTATCCCCCAAGTGTTTGTGAAGCCTCCCAGGTTCACCTCTGCAAACTCAATCAGGAAGCTCCATCCCTGCAGCCAAGTCATCAAACATGCTGACCAGCACAGGACCAGAACAGATCCCAAACTGTGGAACTCCTCACGACACCTCCTGCCAGGCTGACATCCAACCTTTGACAGGTACTGTCCTGCCGGGGGCTAACCAGCCAATTATATAATGGTAATTCATTCTGGTCCACGTTTCTCCAGCTTACATAGGCATGTAGGACTGCAACAAGTGCCTTACCAAAGACTATGTAAATGATACCTGCCCCATTCCCTTCATCCACCAAACCACTTACTCTGTCAAAGAAGGGCACCACATTGGTTTGGCACGTTTTGTGCTCAAGAAATCCATGTTGGCTGCAAGAGACAGGGGTTGACAAACAGGTTGTTTCATATACTTTGCTGCAATATTGTCCTAGTATTGAAGCCAAGCCGACAGGTCTGGAAGTCTCTGGTCCCCACTTCCTGCTCTGTAAGATGGGCACTAGGTCAGCCCTTCTCAGCTCCTCTGGCACCTCGCCTGTCAGCCAGGACTTTGCAAAGATTAGTGCCTGAGGCTTCCAGATTTCTTCAGCACCCGGGGATGAACTGCATCAAGACCAGCCCACTTAGAGCAACCCAATGTGTCTAAAGCTCTGATGTGCTCTCCATGGTTCACAACCCTTCTCCTTCCATTTACATTTGTTTTGTTAGTTTATATTTTTCTTCCACTTGTAGGGTCCGTTCTTCTGCACAGGGGCAGGACTACCTGGATGAGTCTGGAGCAGCTGCTGCTCGTGGTCTTTACCCAGCCAACATCCAGACCCCCAGCAGCAGGGACTTCAGGTCTGGGAGAAGCAGCTGTGAGAACAGGTCTGGGCACACAAACCACCCACGCAAGGGCAGTGTCCCATTGAAACAACCAACCCACAGTGCTGCTTCCTTCTCACATGGGTGGTGAGGGAGCATCTGGCAGAGAATCCCTGGTACCAGCCCTGGAGTCGCTCTCCAGAGGCAAGGGACAGGCAAGGATCAAAGCAGTGATGGCGAGGACAACGAACCTCCTGAAACAGCAGCATGTCAGGGAACATGGGCTTCTCCCAAGATCTGGGGGCAGTCGCTGCTTAGGTGGGAATACAGGGTATCTGCCACTGGGTGCCAAGTCCGTGCCCAGACTCCTCCTTCCTGTGCTGGCCCCCCGTGGGCAGGGGCTGGGGCTCTGTCCCTGGAGCAGCAACACTGCAGTCCTGCTTTTGGAGTCGCATGGGATCATCACTTTCAGTGACAAGGGAGAGATGCCAGCCCAATCTGGAGGCCACCAGCACCAAAGTCACTGGCACTGAACCTGATGGAGCCAGTTTCAGCCGTGTCTCTTTGCTGCCTGCCCCAAGGTGGGAGAAGCCAGCTCCTTCAGCCCTGCTTTCCAAGCTACGCTTCCACCTGGGCCTGAGGCAACCTTCCTGGACTCCTTCAGCAGATGCAATACAGGCTGCACGTTCCTGAACGTGCAGGTCCCCAAGAACAGTGGCAGAGCGTGCGCCTGCACAGAGCAGTCTCCCAGGCAGAGGTGATGAGGTCCGAGTCCCTCCAGGGAAGGAGGAAGGTTTTGAGCCCTGCCGCTAAGAGGCCCTGTACTGACAGCCTCATTGCACAGCAATCATTTCTGTAGAGCGCCCAGGGAAAGAAAACAGAAAGAGAGCAAGGTGGATTCTCTCCATCCAACTGCTGAGATGATGAATGTGAAGATCAGGAGAAGGACTGGGCTGAAGACCTGTTGGGCGTTTCATCTCACTGCAGGGAAGGGGGCTAGGTCTAGAAGGAACTGAGAAAGGGCTACAGCTCCTCCACCCGTTATACACTCACAGGAGGCAGCAGAGGCCACAACTCCAGCAGGCCCTGCTATTCAGAGAACTTCCTCTCACCCGTCCGGTGACCCGTCCTCACACGATATGCACAGAGCAGGGTCTGGTCAGCTGGACAGACCGACAGGTGGAGGCTGGTTATAAACCCTGAAGGTACTGTAGTGCAAACAAGTGGCTGCAGGGTAAAGGGACGGGGTTTACCATACTCCAGCAGCTCCACAGTAATTGCCCACGTGAATACTCTTACCCTTGGTACATGGGCCACTAGCCATGGTAACATTGCTCACTTCCACCGAGAGGGCCACTGCTGAGCTTGCAGCTATCACGGGGCAATTATAAGAGAGCAGGTGATCAGTGGGAAAGCCTCACCCCACTTTCACGTCCCCGTGAATTGTGTGTATGGGTGCACACCCTCAGACAGGAGCCAACGACCTGTGGGACATCAGTGCCAGCATCAACAGTGCCCTGCACTCACCATCCCATGGCAGCAACTCCTTTGCAAGGAAACCAGTCCTTTCATCAAAGGAGTCGCTCCAGGCCCCAGAGTGGCATCGGCTAAGTCCTCCACTCTCCTCTGATGCCAACTGATCCCTCCTCCCCTGAAGAAGGCCAGTTACTCCTAACACACACTCCACCCCTGCTGGGGGAGCTGGTAGGCTCCAGCAGGCACACGGGTGATGCACAAGTGCACCCACGCATGGGCAAGGAGGGGCACAGAGAAAGCTGCTGCGCTAGTTCACCACATTGCCCGTCCTCCCCCACAAAGACTGCGTCCCCCCTTGCCCTCCAAAGCCGCTGCCACTAAGCTCTAACCCACAAGGGAGGGGATTTCTCATCTCCATCAGCAGCTGCCCCCAGTCTGCCTGCCCCAAATGGACCTTACGCTCAGCTGAGCTGAAACCCCAAATGCCCCTCTTCTGCCTTGCACAGTCCCCCTTCTCCTCATCCTAACCCACAACCCAACAAGCGAGTGCTCATTCACAGTCCAAGCGCCCCAGCCCCTCCCCTCAGCCCGCTGGGCCTGGGTGCTAGGGCCGGCGCTGTAGAGACCGCCAACTCTAGTGCTCCACGAGGACGCTCAGCCAAGGCAGTGCTGCAGCCCCCCAAAGGACACTCACGTAGGAAGGGTTTTTAGCAGGTTCTCCCGCAGCTCCAGAGTCACCAGGTTTGCCAAACTGCAAGAAAAAAGGGAGCGAGGAAGCCAGACTCCAGGGACACAGGGAGATGCTCACACCCTCCCTCGGAGCAGCCCCTCACACACGTGGCCTACATGAATGAAACACATCAGTGTGGGCACAGCAGCACAGGAGCAGGGGAGGGATGCGAGTAAAGACATCTCCAAGCACCAGGGCCGAGTGGGACGCCTTGCTACAGGGCTGCAGGAATAACACCATACCCAGTCCCGGGGGCAGGCAGTGTAGCACCACACTATGGACCAGCCTAACCAGGGACCAAGTCCTGCACACAGTGGGCATGTTGGTCTGCCCTAGCAGGGCCAGGAGGCCTCTTCCTCCATGCTGACCATCTTTGCAGAGCTTCTTATACCAACAGCATGCCTAGACAGAGTGCACCTAAATCTGGGGGCCGGGGCATGGGTGTGAGGGGAGAGGAGGTGCTCTTGTAGGGTGGGAAAGCCTGGGCTCCAGCCCTGTTGGCTCCAGGCCTGCTGGTACCACAGCCCCCTGCAGTGTCGCAAGCTAGGCCCCTCCCCTCCCCGGGGCATGGGGGCAGCAGCACTGCCTGGCAGCTGGGCACAAGGCTGCAAATGTCCCTTTTGCCTCTCCCAGCGCAGGTGCCGGGCGTGGCTGGCAGGGGCGGAGGTGTACTCACTTCCCGATGTCGCTGGGCAGGATCTGCAGGGACACGTCGTTCAGGGCCAGGTGGCCCAGGCTCCGCAGCTGGGTGAAGCCCTCGGGAAGCCTATGGTAGAAGCCACACAGGCAGGACTATGGATGCCACCCTGCACACAGTACCCAAGCCCCGTCCACCCTCACGTGAAGAGAGGCCCTGCTCCAGCCGCAGCCCCTGCCCCTGCCCCCCATTCCAAGCCTCAGCAACAGCGCACATGGGGCGGGCACAGCTGCAGGGGGGGGCTCGGACCCTGTGCATTTCAGCAGCACCGGGGGCAGCAGGGAGCCTGCGCACTGCCTGGATGGGTGCAGGTCACAGGGGCCACCCATCTCCAAGGACCCTGATGGAGATTGGGGTAAGACATCGTTCCAGCAGACTGCAAGCTCCGGGCACTCGTGCTTCCATACTTGGGCTGAGACCCCTCTCTCAACAAAGCCCGAAAGGCCCCGGGATGGGATGCGGAGAGTCCTTTTCTGCTGGGTTCTGGACACTGCCTGCCACCTACCCCTTGCCCCCACTCCCAGGCAAGGCCCCCATTGCTCCCACTGGGAAAGGCAGTGTCAGACGGATGCTGGGCAAAGGGAGAGGGTTCAGCACAGAGCCAAGGCGAGCAGGGGTGAAGAGGGCAGCAGAGTACGTGAGGGCCCAGCTGGCCTATGAACCAGACAAAGGAGCATGAGGCCTTTTTCCAAGCTCGGCTGCAAGAGTCACATCCATCTGTTGTCTAGAGGAAGAGGGGTCTCAAGTCTATTCCCAGCAGCCACACGGCCACGTCACTCATACCAGCACCACCACCAAGCTCAGCACAGAGACGCAGCCCTGCGGCAGTCTCACACGAGGGGGGTGGGTGGCAGGGCCACGAGGTCTCTGTAGGGCTCGTCTGCACAACGGGCACTGGAACGCCGGGAGAATGACTGCATGGGCGAGAGGCCCGAGGACTAGACCTGCGACTGTCTGCCTGCCCAGGGCAAGCTGGGGAGAACAGGGAGCCTCCCCCTACCCCTGCCTGCGGTAGGAGGGATGCCTAGGTCTTACCTGGAGAGCGGGTTCCCACTGAAGTCAGCGATCTCCAAGGATTTGCAGAATTTGATGCTTTCAGGAATTTCTGGAATGTCTGAAGCAGAGAGGGAGAGAGACAGATCCAGTAAGAGTCGTCCCCCAGGGAAGAGGGGCAAGAGGGGAGAGCCTCGGGTGTGTGGGGCTGGGGGTAAGGGAGGCCCCCACAGAAGCCTATGACAGCGAGGGGCTGGAGACCTGTGGCACACCCTCCCCCCCAGGGCTGGGGTCCCCACCATGGCTGGGCCCTTGGAGGAGGATGCCAGGTGCTGGGCAGGGCCCCGTGCTGCACCCCGAACGGTTCCGTGTTCCCTGCCCTGCCCCGGCCTTACCGTTGCGGGAGATATCCAGCTCCACCAGCTGCATGAAGTTGGCCACCTCTGGGGGCAGCCTCTGGATCTCATTGTCGCTCA